ACACCCCCATACCATCATGGATGCTGGCCTTTAAACTGTCCACTGATAACAAGCCAGATGGTCCTTCTCCTCTTTAGCCCAGAGGATGTGGTGTCCACAATTTCCAAAAAGAATTTCAATTTTTGATTCATTCCACATTCATTTTCCACATTGCCTCAGTCCATCTTAAATGAGCTTCGGCCCAGAGAAGGCAGCAGCGTTTCTGGACACGGTTTATGTACAGTTTCTTCTTTGCATGGTCGAGTTTTAAGTTGCATTTGTGGCTGCAGCGACAAACTGTATTCACTGACAATGGTTTTCAGAAGTGCAAACCAGTGATTTCCACTACAGAATCATGTCTGTTTTTAATGCAGTGCTGCCTGAGGGCCTGAAGATCAAGATCCGCCAATATTGGTTTTCGACCTTGTCCCTTGCAAACCGAAATTTCTCCTAATTCTCTGAATCTTTTAATGGTGTTATGTACCGTAGATGATGCAATCCCCAAGTTCTTTGCTATTTTGAGGAACTTTCCACTTTGAGGAACATTACTCTTGACATCAAATTAAAAAAAAAAATTGGGCATGCATTAACAAAAAATTTAAAATTTCTCAGTTTCAGTGTTTGATATGTTGTCTTTGTACTATTTTCAATTAAATATAGGGTTTAAATGATTTGTACATCATTGCATTCTGTTTTTATCTTGCACAGCATCCCAACTTTTTTGGAAACAGGATTGTGAGTAATTTTGGTTTTATTTGGGATATTTGCACTTCTAAAGTATGAAGATGCAGTATTCTCTAGTAGTTGTGCTTTTATTTCCATCTTAAGGTAAAACCTGCTAAAAAAGAAGAGATGTAATCTTCTAATGTGCCTGGGACTACTTTTACATTTGATTGTTGATGGTAGTGATGTGTTTCTGTACGTCAGTGCCTGCCACTTAACTCCTTTTCAGACGTAAAACACACTTAACTGAAGCTATTTCAACCATAATAATACTAGCTATCATGCTAATAACGTGCGTAATAATTTTATGCTAAAAGTTTTAGCAAAAGCATTAAAATACTCATTCATAAAATGCTCAATTTTATGCCTGTGGTTGTACAAGATGACTTTGAACCTGAAACTGTATGCAGTTCTACGCCATCAAGAGGCCAGTGGGAAGTAAGCCCAATTTTAGAAGCATGCAAAAAAATGCTTATCTGAAGAACAAGTTGTTTTTTACAATGTTTGACTGTTCTGTAAATGATCCCTGGATAATTGGCATTAATTACACAGCTCGTGTTGCAAGCTATGATAGCACTCTCTATATTCTAGCTGGAGATGTGACCAGATTTTATCGACCGTACGGGGATTTCCAACAAATTCACACACCCGAATGCCTCATGTGTCCAAGAGATTACACTAAAAATGTAGTCAAAGAATAAAAGACAAACAAATGCGCTGTGTTTTACACCCTCCCATGTGTGTGTACGGATTCCTAATGTGGGAGAGTTCGCAGATATTCATCTCTGCTCCAGCCTTGGCATTTAGGGTTTGTTTTTACTAGCCAACGAGCGGCCCAAATGGCGCGACACTCGCTGAGCCGATTTTCTCCCCCCGGCCTTTTCTCAATGTTATCGCTGCCGCCATGTTTGACAGCACGACTTCAAACGGCAGGTCCTCCGGGAACGGAGGAGAACACGCGAAACCGGAGGAGGAGAGATGGTAATTCTCTCTGGCGTGAAGAGAGGCTCGACGATAGAGCCGCTTCACTGCTGCTTCACGCGCCATTGCGGCGCGAAAGTGGCCCAGATCCCACGTGACCTCTGCGCGGGAAAAGTTCTCCTGCCTCTGTGTCAGGCTGCACACAAGCCTGTTCACAAGCAGCTCTGATCCCCAGCTAGATCAAATGCATAAACCTGCATTTGTTATATTGTGATACTGTCACAGTGTTGCTTCTTGTAAGTACTTTAACCTCTTTTTACGATATGTTATAAATCACCCTAACGTCTAGGCTTCATTTGAGCTGCTGATTGTGTCAAATATGAAGAATGTTAGACGGGTCATTCTCCATTTGGAGGGGAAACCCATGTCACAAAGGTTGCAGGACTTAGAAAATGCTTAAAATATTAGGCACAGCTCCAAAAGTTGGTTTGCACATTTACAGTTCAACTAAGATAAAAAAAAGAATACTTTCCCCTTATGATTTCTCTGATTTTTCTTTTTGTATCCTGTTTCTTAGTCGCTCTGTATATGTGAAACAGCTCATCACAAAACCAATTTTCAACATTTGATCAAGCATTTTTAATATAAACAATATTTTTAAGAGCTTTAAGTTAAGAATTTGTATACAACAAATTGATGTTTACATTTTACATCATTAATTTTATACTACATTTAAAAAATAATGTATTTTATTTTAAAAAATACATTTGTCTCAGAGATTTTGGTCATTGGTGTTATCAGGACTCTTATATTACATTTTAACACAGTATTTTCAGCTCTATTAAACGGCTTTCTTGGGTCGAGGCTCATCAGAGAGGAAGCATCTCAAGACATGAGAAGGTGAGTCCATACTTTATCAGGCAGCACATAACTTCTATGTGTCACTGGTGTTATGTGCTTTAATGGCTGGATAATTAAAATTTTGACAAAATGATGCCATATTATCACTTTTATTACTGATTTTAAATAGTTGCACAAGCTCACCTGACCAACAATGAGTCAGCCAATGTACAAAATCCTCAATTTTAACCAGAATGTCACTGGTGTCACAGTACCAGTGACTATAAAATATGTTTGGAATTAAGCTCTGCTTTTGCATATATGATAATGGTAGATGTTAATGGACACATTAAGATTATTTAGTTAGTTGGGATGAAAGAAATTAATTATTTAAAAAATATATCCACCTGAATTCTCACTCTAAATGGAGAACGGCCCAGATATGTAAACATATTTAATGAGGAATAAAGAACAAAGCGGATTTAGATCACAAAGATGACAGACACAGGTGATGATGTCATGCAGTGACTGATTGACAGTGATGAAACTAATCAGTCATTAAAAAAGAGCTCTGTAAAGGATGCTCCATTACGATTCCTGCGATGTTGTACCGAAACATTCTCGAAATCAGTCTTGGCCAGGCTCCTGGTCCACAGCGGAAACCCAATCAAGGGGACATTTTTGAAAGTAGCACAAGTATCTAAAACCAGTGCAGAATGTGCCATTTAAATATACATTTTACGGCCTGCACTGATTGCTGACTGGCGGCACGTGGTCAGGACAGTAAAACTAAATTCATCGTGAAGGCTGTTTCATGTCAAGCTACACAGGATGTCAAGAATGCAGCGAGAGGAGCTTTCTAACTTTGAATACGTTTACTGGAGCCAGAGTTAGCGATTTATTTTTGGGGACGCAGTTTGACGGACACTTGTGCCGAGGGAGTGTGTGTTTGGCATGTTGGCAGATTAAAGTCATGGTGTGTAACGTTGCGGCCACCCAGCGCTTGCTGGATGGATGGCCCTCGGAGGCCTGTTTGACTGGTGTCAGGTGTGCGCGCGTATGGATGGTCTCTGAGGCCCTGGCTCGACTAGGAACAGGTGTGTGTCGTCCCTGGCTGAAGGCTTTGCCTGATAAACATTATTGGAGAACATCTGTCGGCTGTCACAACATGGGGCAGCCAGAGAAGCCCCCCATCCATCAGTCCAGGGGCTCCGGGGTCTCCGCCTGGTCGTCCTACCTGCAGTGATGGTCCAGTGCGCTTGAGAAATGCTTTAGGGACAGGGCTATGATCGTAGCACACACTCTGTTCCACTCAGGTGAGCTGTCAGGGGGTGACAGGTGACCTCCTTCTGCTCTGCCTCACCTCTGGGTGGAGACTGGCCTTACTGCTGACCTATCTTCAATCACACATACACAGAAGCCTCATAGGCCTTTTATAGCCCTACAAATCTTTCTCCTTCACTTATGAACACAGTGCACTCTCACCTGCCACACATGTATGTTACACTATTAAACTTACATTGATTTGTTTAGTTAACACTTATAATAAAACTGGCTTACCAGACATTTCAAACAACTAAGGCATCAGAGCAATCCCAAACCTAACCCAAAAAAACCCATTAAAAGGTACTGGTATATCATAATATATACCAGTATACCAATAATATATAATAAGGCCCATACAACTCATTTTAATTATCATTCATTGTGTCATTAAATATCTAATGTGCATTAATGTATAAATAAAGCACATACAGTCATATGCAAAAGATTAAAAGCCCCAGTCAAATTACGTTTTGTTGATTTTCTAAGTGAAAATAAGTTAAAACATCATCTACAGAGAACTTAAATATGGCATTTTTCTTCAAATTACAGTGTACAATATCTATCTGTTTATAAGTTTAACATATCAAAAAAAAAAAAAATGTAAAACATAGTGTGCCATAACTTTTGCACAGGGTGCTTTTTCCCAATATGTTAAAATAATGCATAAAAATGTAATGTGTGTTCCCTGTACAGAATGTGTTAACTTATTTTCACGTAAAAAATCAATGGATCTTGACCAGGGTTGCACAAACTTTTGCATACAGCTGTATATGTGCAGCATGTAATGAACAGGACAACGACATTCTTACATTTCTAATGAAACACTGGTAATTCAGTTAAAGTGTCAAAGTGTCAGCTTTATATTAAATTATAATGATTAGCGTTTGTTTACAGATCCTTTTGCAATGACAGTGAAGCCTGTGGTCCATTGACATCACTAGATACTGAGTGTCTTCTATTGTGATGCTCTGCCAGGTCTGTACTGCAGCCTTTTTAGGTTCCTGCTTGTTTTAGAGGCTTTTGAGTGCAGAACATTGCACTTGAACATTGCAGTTTTGAGGCATTTGGCAAAGAGGCTCCTGTACACTTCAGCAAAAGTGAGCCAGTTTGTTTTGATTCCAATTTATTACGAGTCACAATACAGTTTGCTTCACACTTCACAGTCTCATGATGGCCTGCTTTACTGTTCTTCTTTTGGTCCTCATGTTGAGAGCAAATGCAAATACCACATCTAGAAATGTTAGCTTTCTTGTGCAGCTAGTGATGTAGCAACACACAGCTCTAGTCAAGAAATAGTCTCGTGGGGCCAGGCGTGATTTTATAGTGAGAATCTAGGGACAAACTGTGGAACTTTTGGTGCTGGATTGCGACAAAATCTGTCACTAATATGAGAATGGCCCCTCTAAAACCCACCCCCAAATTCCTTGAGTTCATGCTCTTTTAACATGCAGAATACAATAATAATGCAAGCCAAATGAGCAAGCTAGGAAATCACTATCCTTAACTAATAGAACTGTTTTTATATCAAAAGAGGTATTGTTTATTTTTACTGCATGTAATTACTCTATATACAGCACATACATCTACATGCTTAATTAATCCTAGTTTTTGAGGGACTTTTCAGGGATGCTAACTTACATGACATCCACGGGCTGATGACAGTTGTTCATCAGACACTGTTGACGAGTGTACCATCACCACCATACTTTGAGCGTTGTCTTCAGGAGGCATTGAATTAGTTCAAAAATGTCCCACTCAGTTTGTTCCCACCCTAATAAGTCTACATATTTAGCCCAAAATTGTTCAAGGTCGTCCCCAAATGTTACAAGATCACGTCTGGCCCCGCGAGACTAGCCAAGAAGCCAATATGGAATTACTTATGTCTCCCTCAAATAAGGGATCTATGTATAAATGTATGCAATTACTCTATGGTTTTACCCAGTAAAGAAGAAAATACCAGTATCCTGCAGTGCAAACCAAACAGCAAAAACTTTTGCACATCAGCTTCCTAGTGGAAATGAAACATACAATTAAAATAGCTGTAGGAACAGACACAATGTTTTCTTGAAAAAACAAAGATTTAATTCAAAGCTCAGTATATTCTTCATTATAGCACCATTTCACTCAGCGTTTGATCAGCGAGACAGTATTTGAGTTTCACGACCACACAACATAAATATAAGTAAATACAAAGTATTCCAGAAGACAAAAACGCTCTTGTTTCACATCTCATTTTTACAGCAAATGAAGCCTTTTGTTGAAACTACAGTACGAGTGCTGGTCATTTGTACGGATTATAGCTGTTTGGCATGTAAGCTTTGGTGGATCACTGATCTTCGGTGACTTGAGTTTTCGTTTACACCAGTCCGATTCAGCCCGACAGTTCGCTTTTAACAATTTACACAAAGCCGCTCGAACTAATGGGGGAAGTAACTGGATATTTAGACGTTTCTACCGGTGCTTTGGGGGGGGTGCTGTCACAGAAATCACATCACAGGAAATACATAAGGAGCTCCAAATCCACACCCACGCTCAAGTGGACAGTGCCGACCGCGCTGGACATTTTTAAATAATAATCATCATTATCACACAAAATATTTGTGATACTACATGATATGAAAACCATTAAGCACCATTTAGATCATGTGACGTTATGATGGACTGGTGAATTCAATATCGTGGTGTATTTACCAGTTCAGTAATAAGCTCTATGTGATATGTGGAGAAAGATCAAGGCACCCTGAGTATGTTCCGCTGCAGAGAGATTATGTTTGAGGGTTATTTCAGTGACATGTTTTTTACTGTGGTCTGCAGTAAATATGAAAGGTTGAGGTTGCACGCTTGTATCCTGTAATAGAGAAACGTGGTCATGGCTCTGTGGGTACTGGGCTGTTTGACTGACACGGATTAAAAGAGTGCTGTGGGACGTTGGGCTTGAATGGAACAGAAACTCAAATGTGCTTTTTGCTGGTTTTATATGGCCAAATCATGTTCAAATCTGCATTCTTGAACACGCAAAGTGACAAACTGAGCGCAATGCAGTCCTGTTTTAGGGGACAAATGTACACACATAGCCACACAAACTCACTGTGGCGCCTCAGTGGTACAGAACGAGCCCAGTGGCAAAGTCTAGGTTTTATGTCTTGCGCTAATCCCCTTCGTTTTAACCGGATCACCTTCATTTTTAATGAAAGTAGAAAGTCTGTGACACACACACAAAAATCATACTAAAGCAGCTGTCCATTTGTGTCTGAGCTTGGGGCACCGTGTTACACGCCTCGTCGCCTCTTCAGTGATAAAGAGACCGCAGCAGAATCTACAGAAACGAGAGACAGAGACAGAATCTATTCATATGTATATCACGGTAGGTCAATCAATACATTGGCAGAAGTGAATTATGAAGTTACGTGAGAGACAGAAAGAATCATGAAGGAAACTGGGTAAAGAGCGCTCTCTGTATGGAAAAATAGAGGACTAAGCAGGTTGTAGGTAGAGAAGGCTGTGAGTAAGTGTTCTCCTATCAGGCGAGATGGCATAATGTTATACATTAACATCTGTATCAGGCTGATGTCAGCAAAAAATGCTAGCTTGGACATTAGAGGCAAGAAAGAATGAATCTGATTCAATCTTGTAACAAATCGAGCCTGAAACAGCACACACTATATGATGTCATGTTAGCTGTGCATGTCTTCCTGTGGGTAGCAGAGTGTGCGAGCAGTTTTAGTGTGATAGCATACATTTAAATGTCAGTCTAAGAATATTCTGTTAGAATTGAAAAAACCAGAGTTAGCATTAGATCAGTTTCAATTAAAATGAGCTAATTTTTAAGCATAGTAGTCCTTTAAAGAAGAAATAATGTATAGTCAGTATAGGCTGATACTGGAGTTATATACGGTATTGAAAAAGAACCCGGCCATCAAAGTTATTTCTGAAGAGATTATATATACTATAAGGGAAGATAAAATCAACACTATGGGTCTAAAAGGATGTGCAGCTGTCATGAAGTCCTTACTGAGAAAAAAATGAAATAGGCAAAAAGAGAAGAAAATTTGCTAATCAAACAAAGAAGCTGCTGGTGTTTTCATAAGAGCCCAGACCTGAGTGTCATTGAAACAAAGAAATTGTAACCATCTTCTAAAATTGAACAGTATATGAAAAAAACTCAAAGCAAGTCTCCTGAAAAAATGGAAACTAAGTTAATAAAGGCAAAATATGGACTCTTTAAATACTGAAAAAAAATCTTCAGTTGTTGACGCTTCTGTCATTTTCTGTTAAATGTTACCTGCTTTTTCCTGATTTTGAAAAATGAATAACTTATATTTGGTAAAATATTTAGTAAAGTTTGGAAATCTGTTGTGAGTGATGCAGCACAGAATAGGCAATTTTTACATGCTATGCACTTAAGCACTCGCTGACCCCACTCAGTGAGTTTGCATGGTGTACCGCTTCATGGCTGAACTGCTGTTGCTTCTAGATGCATCCATTCCACAATAATAGTGCTTACAGTTAACCGAGACAGATTTACATGGCCTTTCTAGCGACAGATCTAGCTTACAGTTAACCGAGACAGATTTACATGGCCTTTCGACCGATAGTTGAACCTCGGATTGAGGAGGAACAATGTGGATTCTGTCCCGGCCGTGGAACAATGGACCAGCTTTTCACCCTCTCACGGATTATTGAGGGGGCATGGGAATTTGCCAACCCAGTCTACATGTGTTGTGGATTTGGAGAAGTCTTACGACCGTGTTCCCCGAGATATCTTGTGGGAGGTCTTCCGGGAGTATGGGGTGCCGGGGCTGCTACTCCGGGCCATTCAATCTCTGTACGCCCGGAGCGAGAGCTGTGTTCGTATACTCGGCATTAAGTCGGACTCTTTCAGTGTTAGCGTTGGACTCCTCCAGGGTTGTGCCCTGTCTCCACTCCTGTTCGTGATATTCATGGACAGGGTGTCAAGGCGTAGCCGTGGTCAGGAGGGCATTATGTGTGGAGGCCGAAGGGTGGCGTCTCTGCTATTTGCAGACAATGTTGTTCTTTTGGCTGGATCACATGGATGCCTCCAGCGCGCACTAGAGCAGTTTGCAGCTGAGTGTGAAGCGGTTGGTATGTGGATCAGCACCTCCATGGTCTTAGCCCGGAAAAGGATGGCATGCCCACTCCAGGTAAGGGGAAAGGACTTGCCCCAGGTGGAGGAGTTTAAGTATCTCGGGGTCTTGTTCACGAGTGATGGGAAGAGGGATCGTGAGATCGACCGCAGGCTGGGACAGGCGGCAGCAGTAATGCGGTCGCTGTACCGGACTGTAGTGGTGAAGAGGGAGCTCTCTGTTTACCGGTCGGTCTACATCCCGACCCTCACCTATGGTCATGAGCTATGGGTAATGACCGAAAGAATGAGGTCGCAAATACAAGCGGCGGAAATGAGCTTTCTTCGCAGGGTGGCAGGCTACACTCTATTTGATAGGGTGAGGAGCTCAGCCATCTGGGAGGAGCTCGGAGTAGAGCCGCTACTTGAGAGGAGCCAGCTGAGGTGGTTCGGGCATCTGATCCGGATGCCCCCTGGACGCCTCCCGTAGGGGGTGTACCAGGCACGGCCTACCGGGACAAGACCGGGGTCATCCTAGGACGCGCTGGAGGGATTATATCTCCAGGTTGGCCTGGGAGCGGCTTGGGGTCCCCGGGAATGAGCTGGAGGAAGTTGCGGGGGACAGGGTCGTCTGGGATTCTCTGCTCTCCCAACTGCTACCGCGACCCTAGCTGGACTAAGCGGTTAACGACGATGATGATGATGATGATGATTTACATGGCAGAAATGTCATGAACTGACTTGTGGCAAAGATGGCATCACATGTCAGTGCCATGTTTAAAGTCACTGAACTCCTGAGTAATTAGGAAGGAGGGTGTCCACATACTTCCTGGTTATCATACTTCCCTGTATGAAAGTTACATTTGAAGGCCTTTTGTTGATGAACCGAATACCAATGTAACACTCAACACATGCTGTCCTTAAGTAGACAGTTCGATGTGTTTAGTTAAGGACATTTATCTCAAACACATTTTGTGATACCTCAGACCGCATTCAGTTGTCCAAAGACATTGGGCTAGCAGCAGTTGAAAAAAAAAGCAGTGGCTGTCTTCACATGACTCTGCGGACTCCCAGTGTGGGTAGTATCGTGTGATGGGAGACCTAGATAGTGGGTGTAAATGCACATGACTAAATTGGAGAGAAAACTGGGAAAAATTTCAAAAACATTTTAATGAATCAAACGCCTGATTCAACCGACTGACTTATTTTTGGAAGCAGTGGTCTGCAACTCACGGAGAGAATGCATAAGTGGTGAATTCACAGTGGTAGTTCCTAATATGTGGCGTTTTATGCTATGCCTTCATGAAGCTAAACCATAACACAGATGTAAACCTTGCAAAGATGCTACAGAAACATTCAATTCGGTTGTACTTTTGAACTGGTATGAGTGATTCATTGGAAAGAACCAGCTCAAAAGAATGATTCGTTCATGAATCGGAAATAACTTGTACTTAGGGTTGGTTTAAATGCATTATTCTTATGCATTTCTAGAAAAATGTATGTAAAGTTATTCTTTGACCCATTATAACCTGTCCAGCATTCAGTCACACATGAATTGTTCTGGTATAATTTAACTAACTGATATAATTTAAATAAACACCTAGTAAATCACAATTGCAGTTCTTGAAAATACAAGTGTAGAAAATATAAAACTTGTATTCTCAGCGTTTGATGACATAATGCATGCATGACAACACTGGTAGCCTAGAAGAATCTACCACCCAGCCTGAATAAACACATCTAGGGGAACACTGTACTTGCTACACTGGGGTTCTTTTAAGAATATTTATGCTGCGGTGGGATACACCATGTGTTTGCATCAAAGAGAGGGAGTAAGAGAACAGAACAAGTCAGAAGTGATGAAAGAAAGAGAACGAGAGAGGCAAGACACAGGCGATGGAGCCATGCTAAAAGAAAGAGAAGTGAGTAAGAAACAAGGGAGCTTGAAATGAGAAGCAAATGTGGAAGGTTTCAGGAGGTTTTGGGGCGCATGGTGTGTGACCCCCCTCAGAGCAGCACTGGAGAGGGGTCAGACCACGTAGCTCAAAGCAAACTTCACACACGCGCACACACACGCAGACACCCTGCTGTGGTTCACTTAACATAACTGTCAGAGAGACTGACCAATATGCAGAGAGACGGATGAACCTCAACAGCTCAGGGGCCCAAGCACAGGCACACACACATTCCTACTGTCAGATTCTTTGAGCTGTTTCAGCCGAGATGCCACGTTTCTGTCTGTGCCGTGTGATGGACAGAGATTGGTGTAGAGAAAGAGGGATGAAGGAAGAGAGAGAAAAACAGAAAATGGCAGAGGAGTGTGGAAACATGTGGACTTGATGATCAAGAAGGGAGGAGAACTGGGGGGGGCGTTTGCTCAGTGGTTTTCAATGAATACACACTCACCCTCCCCACAGGTGGGTCCGAGCCAGGTGAGCGGACACACGCATCGTCCGTTGCGAGGGTCACATTGTCCTCCATGAGTGCAGTGGCACTGCAGAGAACAGTCAGGACCATACTGTCCACTCACACACTCTGAGAAAGAGAGGGTAACATATTTTAGTGATAACGATAATGACTGTTATCATAAAGACTGAATTTTGTCTGCACTTTTGATGTGTGTGAGATTTCAGATTATGGGAGTAAAGTTACATTCAGCCAGGCCTGACTCTGGATGCAGTGTTAAGTTTTAAGGCACAATGCAAGCAAGAATTTGGCTAACCAGTAAAACACTGTTAGCATTTGGCTAAATTATAGCACTGACACTAGGTAGTTCTGATTAAGTTGTACTAGCTAAAAAACTATGCATAAAGAGTCCTTGTTTTGTGCATGTCTGAGGGATCATTTGACGTGAGCATCTTCCAATCAAGTCTCACTCGACCCAAATCCAACCAAAGAAGCATGAGTGCAAAAATCTCTCCATTGAAACCAATATTGCTCTTTATTTAGCAATCAATATCAAATCAAAAAGCACAGCAAAACTAACCAAAAATTAGTTGCTAGCTGCACTTTCTTGTAGCTTAAGTGTAAAACTAAAGAAGCAATCTTTGGACATCATGCATGTCTTGCCTATTCTTGTAATGGTCGTTTTGGCAAGTGTGCTTATTAATGGGGATATTTCTAGAGAGTTTTCTAAAAATGTTGCAGGACAAAAATTATGATTACAGTAAAGACAACTTAAATAGGAGTAGTGCATCTGTATTGCGATGGGACATAACATTATGATTTGTATTGTGTTTGGATATACCATGTTACAGTTTGCACTGTCATGGCCTGCATTGTACAATACAAATCATAACATGGTATATCGCACCACAATACAAATCATAATATGTCCCATCACAGGTTACGATTATATTGTGGTGATAGGGTATACCATGTTATGATTTGTATTGTGATCGAATATACCATGTTATGATTTGCACTGTGGTTGGATATACCATGTTATGATTTGTGTTGTGATGGGAAGCCATTTTATTGTAATAGAGAGGTTTGTCTCAAGTAGTTGACGCCATGTTCAGTGCACATTTTACCAAACGATCTAAAGGCAGTGATGGGCCTAAGGCACCAAACAGCAGCACTAGCATTTAGCCTCTACCATATATGTTTTCAACTATGGCAACCAAAGTTTATCAGTACACTAACTGTGCTCAGAGACATGCCTTACGCCTTTCTCACTGAGTGTATGTTTGTACCTTTATCGCAGTACTCCCCAGTCTTCCCTGGGGGGCAAAGGCACTGGCCTGTGACCGGATCACAAGGGACTCCCTCAGCGCACTTACACTGATGTACACAGCCCACACCGAAACGGCCCGCTGCACAACCTGTAAACACACACACACACAGTAGTTGTGAGTGCTTGCTCAGCATCTGCTGCATACTGCAATCTGACTCTGACTCAGGAATGGGCAGTGAGACCGCAGCGCTCACACAGCAGGGATTCTACATGAGCTTACAGGAGGTGAAGAGATCAAATAACTTGTGGCTGGGATGAACACACACACACACACAGGGCATTGTGATGCACCAGGAACTCATTAGAGTGTACGGAAATACCTGTCTCTGATCAAATAACCACCTCTGACTGGCTGCTGAGAAAAGGAGAGAGTGTGCCACCAGACTTGTGCACACACACCCTTCTAATGAACGAAGAAAAGATTTTATCCACTCTCTCTCACACACATTCACACAGAAGACAAATAGCAGCAACAGGTCTTCAAATATTATACAAACAACTAAATATAATATCAGTTTTTCTGTATTTAGCGTGTCCACACTGTGCATTTATTACATCTTCCATTCTTTTCAGGAGACCCACTTTCAGTTTTACAGAGAAATCTGCATGGATATTTTTCCACAGCTCCATAGTTCAGGCTCAGAAGTTGCTTGCATTTTCTACTTCTCCAGATCCAAGTAAGCAGACACAATCAATGATGTTGAGGTGTGGACTCTGGGGTGACCGGTGACCATTCTCAGCACTGCAGTGACACTGACGTAGGGGTAGTGTGTTGTGCTGGTATGAGTGGATCAGACACAGCAGCGCTGCTGGAGTTTTTAATCACCTCAGTGTCACTGCTGGACTGAGAATAGTCCACCAACCAAAAATATCCATCCAACAGCACTTCCTGTGACCACTGTTGAAGGACTAGAGGATGACCAACACAAACTGTGCAGCAACAAATGAGCTACTGTCTAAGACTTTACATCTACAAGCTGGACCAACAAGGTTAGTGTGTCTGATAGAGTGGACAGTGAGTGGTGAGTGGAGTCCAGCAGCACTGTTTGGAATGACAAGATAGTGTTGAAAATTATCCATAACCCAAATAATACATGGTCTGTGGTGGTCCTCTGGGGGTCCTGTGGAGGTCCTGACCACTGAAGAACAGAGTAAAAGGGTAAAAAAGTAAGCAGAGAAACAGATGGACAGTCTGTGATTGTAGAACTATAAAGTGAAACTATAAAGTAAAACTATATAGTAAGTGGAGCTGATAAAATGCACAAAGAGTGTAGAAACAAGGAGGTGGTTTTAATGTTATGGCTGATCAGTGTATATCATGCATACACTTAAGTGTTCCAGCTCCTTTGTGATTGTAGTCTCACACTTTCATTCTTACTGCTCCTCAACTTTCTGGAACCACAGAGAAGAACAGCAGCTTTCCACTTTGCTGCTACCTTTGTTTATTCATAGGTCTGCTCAACTTGCTGAAAGTACATTTACAAGTTACAAATTACAAATTTAAAATTTTCAAAACGTTTTCTTTTTTGAGTTGCAATAATGATAACATATTCAACAAAAAGCTGATTAGAGCAAAACTAATGGGCATAAGTGTTATCTTAGGGAAAATACATGACAAACCCAACACATTTTATCCCCTCATTCCCCTTGGCACCCAAACCTTTCAGGTGTTTAAATCACCTTAATTGGGCCATTGTGCTTTTAACAGTACTTTAGAAAAGAAAACTGTCAAATCATTACAAAAAAATGAATTTTCATACCAAAGAAGACACTTTAATGAGCCCAAAGTGTTAATAAATTTATATATAGAGTTTTATGTTAACTATTGAAAAATAATAGTCAAAATCAAACTTTACTTAATTGTTGTCTAGTGTTTTCAAGCTGAAATGGTGTTTATTTAGATGTGAGTTACTTACGTTTCTGACAGTGGTCGCCATGATAACCTGGAGGGCACGTGCACCGTCCTGTCACATGATCACACGTATGTCCGTGAGTGCATTCACAGGGCTGTGAGCAGAGCTTTCCGAAAAATCCAGCAGGGCATTCTGGGATAGATGTGGAGAGAAAATTAGCCATTCATATTAGAGTCACACTCAAACAAAAATCAGAGCAAAATCACACTGACTTTAGAAATTTTGTCACTTGGTATGTGACTGTTTGGTGTTAAACACTAATAGTTGCTAAGTTGGTTGATAATATGAAAGAATGAAGGCTGCACACTGTAACATTTACGTGTTTTTACTTTTAAATCAAACCTGATTTATTCTAAATGGTAAAGTTTGCTCATAAAAGTGAGCAGTCTTAGTGATCATCACTGCCCTCCATAAAAAACTGTTTTCACAAGTTTTCATGTTGGGTAGATACTAATAGGGAAAGAGATAGACAGTATGCTTAGTAGTTAACGTTTAGGAGGCTTTTAAAATCTTACATAACATTGTTTTGTGTTTTGTCAGATCTTTCTGTTGATATTATTAGTATTTTCTTGATGAGGCACTCATTAAAATGATTTTAATTGATAGATATTACTGGTGATAAAGGCGTGTTATAATTTTATATTACAAACCTCAATTCCAGAAAAGTTGAGACAGTGTGTGAAATGCAAATAAAACCAGAAGTCATTTGTAAATCTGTTTTGACCTCTATTTGAAACAGTACAAGATCAAGAAATGTAATGTTTTACCTAATCAACTTCATTGTTTTTTTTTGTAATCAAATGCTCATTCTGAAACTGATGCCTGTAACATGTTCCAAAAAGGTTAGAATCAGAGTGATTTAAGACTAGGAACATTGTAACCTGTTCAAAAAACATCTTAAACAAGGCGCATCCAGGAAAGGCCTAATCCTTCATGAGCAAGGATGCATCGGGGCTCACCACTTTGTCAGCAAAAAATCTGGCAGTTTAAAAATAATGTTCTTCAGGTGAGTGAAGGCAGGAATTTTAGTATTTTAACCTCTACAGTGCATCTCTTTAAGTGATTCAGGGAATCCCGATAGATCTCTGTGCATAAAAAGGTTGAAAATCACAACTGAAAGCCGATGAGCTTCAGTCTCCTCAGACAGCACTGCCTCTAAAATCGGCATGTTTCTGTGATGGATATCACTGCATGGGCTCGGCAATATTTTGACAAACCACAGTCAAAACAGTGTCCGTCACCCCATTCACAAATGCAATTTAAGACTTCTCTGGGCTCAAGCTTATCTGAAATGGACTTGTACACAAAGGAAATGTGTATTGTAGTCTGATGAGTCAACTTTGCAGATTGTTTATGGAAATACTGTCATGTTGACTGCACCAAAGCAGAAAAGGACCATCCAGATTGTTACTACTGTAAAGTTCAAAAGCCAGAGTTTGTCATACAACAAGGGTGTATTAGTGGGCAACTTGCACATCTGTGAAAGCACCATTAATGCTGAACACATTTTGGAGCAACATAGGCTGACTTCTAGACGACGTCTTTTTCAAGGACACCCATGCTTATTTCAACATGACAATTCCATACCACATTCTGAATGTGTTACAACAGCAAGGCTGCGTAATCAGAGAGTGCGGTTGATAGACTGGCCTGCCTGCAGTCCCACAACTGTCTCCCAATGAAAACGCATGGCAGATTTATTAAGCTCAAAATACAATAAATGAAAGTCCTATATAGTTGCACAGCTAAAGACGTGAAAGAGAAGAAAGAAGATTCTGCTTCCAAAATTTAATCAGGTTTTGTCTTCAGTCCCCAAACATTTATTACATGCTGGGAAAAAGGAAAGGTGATGTAACACAGTAGTAACCATGTTCCTGTCCATACCTTTTTGGAACGTGTTGCAGGCATCAAATTTGGAATGAGTGTATATTTACAAAAACAATAAAGTTCATAAGGTAAAACTCAAATATTGAGTTTTTGTACCATTTCCATTTTAATACAGGCCAAACAGAATTTACTTACCACTGCTTTCTGTTTTCCTTTGCATTTCACATACTGTCCCAAGCTTTGCAGTTGGGATTGTAAGCACTTTTTCACTCTTATCTCAAACTGAGAAAATTCTGTGTTGAAATTCTGCAGGTAAGTGTAGATTCTAATCTTTTAATCCACACGACACAAGAAGAATATATTATTATCATTTAAATTTGATGAGCAGTTGTTGTGTGTACAGGCTTGTTTTGTGGAAAGAAAAATATCCTTTACATTTTTGCAGGGGGGCAAAAAGTGCAGAGAAATTATATTTAAGTGAAGAATGAGTGTCAAAACTGAATACTGTGTTACTCTTTTAAAAGAGTACTTGTGTGAAAACGCCTACTATAATTTTTTTTTTCGTTTAGTGGTGTGTTAGTACAATGACTAATAGTTATTGGCTGTATCATTTAGAATGATATAAATTTGGTTGGATGTTGTAATTAAAAATTCAAATGTAAAGGAACTCAACTAATTCGCAAAAGAAAAAGATTTGAGATTTGTAATATATATTTATGAAAGTGTAAGGAGTAAAAAGTATGTTTTTTCTCTTGACAATGTAATTGAGTAGAACTATGAGTATTTCAGTAATATTCAAGTACAGTGCAAATGTTCCAAAATATTGCTTATTACTGTTATGTATTTTCCACCTCTGCATTTTTTCCATCAAATGAAACAGAAAAAAATGCAAGTGTGTTGGTACAGAAGTTAAATAGAATGTACATTCAATTACATACAGGGCTGTGCAAAAGCCATTAAATACAAGTTACTCATCTTCAGGAGATAATTCTGAGGAAATTAGATTTAAAATGATCCGCTTGCACAAGAAAGGGGAAAGTCAAAGGAAAATGCAGAAAAAATCAGGTGTTTCCTAAACTGCAGGTAATGTTACTGAGAAAAGGAACTAGACAAAAAAGGGAAAATTTGCAAATCAGACAAAGAAATTGCCGGTGTTCTCAGAACAATGGTCTGACCACCCTAGAGTCCAGACCTCAAAATCATTAAATGTGTTTGATTACCCTCGATCGTAAGAAACAGAAAATGCAAACTTCTAAGACTGAACCTTGAAGGTTTCCTGAAAAGAATGAAAGAATGTCCCATTATATTTAGTTGTTTAGGCTTCTGTATGATTTTCTCCTAAGTACATGCTTTTGGATTTTTCTGGTGTTGGAAATAAGAACAACTTGTACTTAATGGCTGCTTTGATTGGGGATTAAATAAATGAAGGGTGGTTTCTGACTTATGCACAGTACTGTATTTAATTATATTTAAACAATTATGCGTCAAATGTATAGTAAGAACAAGAACAATAACTTCTATGGTATAAAAACATGATGTTCAGCTCAAGTTCTGCTTCGTGATAAGATCATTTACACACACATGCACAAACCCACAAAAACTTACGGTGTTGGCATGTGGGGCCGTAGTAACCGGCTGTACAGGAGCAGGAGCCAGTAAACCGGTCACAGGTTCCGTTATTTAGACACATGCACTCCTGCTCACAGTTAGCTCCAAACTGACCTGAGACACATGCTACAGAAACACACACAAGATATACAGTTAATATGCAGTTTTTATATCAAACACAATGCAGTGTAATACAATGTATATGGTACTGTAATACAATACAGTGTACAAATACATTTGCAGTTTATTTTGTTATCCATAATTAAACTAGTGTATAGACAACATGGCTTAATGTCTCTCAGGCTCATAAACTCAGTAACATTACCCAGAGCCTAAGGTGGTGGTTTATTTTGTTGTGGCATGCTGCGTAGTTACTGCCTTTTTGTTTGTTTACCTTCCTCGCAACGTGTGCTGGTCCAGCCCAGTCCACATCTGCAGGTTCCATCAGCAGGGTCACACACACCGCCGTTTACACACGTACACAGGCTGCGACACTGCGCTCCATAGCGCCCCCTGGGGCACACTACAGGACAGAACAGTGTCAGGTTAGCTGATGGTGGCTCCACCTCACAACTCTCTTACTGACTTACTCTGGTGCCATGTGGCTGACCAACAGTACATATGGCAATATCATAATATTTTGGTTCATCAATGTAATATATAATACAGTGGATTATATATACAGATTCATGGCTTTCAAACGATCCTGATAATCGCATTATTTTGTGCAGTAATTGTGATTAATTGCACTTGTCCCATTTGCTCAAATTTGACCTGAGTGGACAAAATAAGCTTCTTCTTGTGTTGCTTTTTGTTGGGACACTAATCCGAATGTTAAAATCTCCAATGCTACTCTTGGAATGCCAACATTTAACACACCTGACTTAATTTTATTAACATTCAATAAGATATTGCTGTAGAAAACTTGAATATAGAGATGAAATGTTGAATATCTGACAGAAAATAGTGTTTCTGCGTTATAAAATGTCTGTGAGAAAGAGTACAGAGTATAAATCCCTCTCATGGAAAGAGACACAAAATGTTCGATACCTGCCATGCTCTGGCCATTCAAACAAGAATATCCAGCAAACCTGGCAGTGCATACTCATGCATTCCATGCCTAGAAGACTTCAAACTGTCATCCAAAAGAACAGATACACAACAAAATACTCAACTAAACACTACCTTACGCTTTCAGTGAATGAGTTTCAGTTAGTGAACATGGTAACTCATGGAAAGTAATAAATAAACATGACCTAAACCATATTCAGAGAGAGTCCCATGACTAATTTTGAGCTCTGTATATAAAATTATTGTGCATATGTGAAATTGTGGACATGCCACGAAATGCAGTATGTGTAACCAGAAACATATAATAATAGTTCTCAATGCACATTTCAGAAACACAAACGAGTGCAGATGCAGTAAGTGTGTAATCCCCAAAGTTCTCTTTCACTGAGTGAAAACAGAGGCCGTGTTAGACCAATGTGTTTGTTTTCTACTTCCAATCTAATGTGGGCGCATCATTACGAACTCCTGTCTCCAAGAAAGCCCAATCAGGCTTCTCTCATTGCCGCCTGAACAAAAGCAGACATTTATTTCAAATAAACTCCGCATTTCTCAATTAATGAAACTACCACGTTTCTACACCCCTCAACTCACTGCTAGTGGCACACACACACATACACAAGGACATATGCATGTCTTTAAGTTTACTTAAGCTCCAGATCATTAGCGAGATGGCAACGGGGCTATAATTTGGCAGCAAAATAAAAGAATAATCATGTTTCTGCGGGTAATTTAGGCCGAGGGAAACAATAAAGCGAATCACTTTGATTTTCCTGCTTATTTATTTTTTGTTTTCTTGGCCAGCTCCGTCGACACGGAACACCAGCTACTTGGAGTCATCGGTAAACATTAAATACGCTAACGTAAGCAGTGGCACGTCCACAGACGTATGTGCGCACTCTGAAACAGGATTTCGAGAGAATGGAGCTAAAAAAAAACACCCTCTTGCTCTTGGAAAGTCCCATTCCGTTAATGCAGCGTTTGCGGAACGGGTGATAAAAGCAGGGAGATTAGGAATGTGATGGTGCTTCTGTTCTTCTGGAGAATGGACGCCTATATCGCATTCCCTCCACACAGGAAACAGAGAAAATCTGTTAACAAAACTAAACATTGTGAACAGGGGATGTGGAAGAAGTAGAAAGGGGAAAATCCCTCAATGCATACTGTTTTAAAAGGGGTAATTTAGACAACTTAGAGAGTTGTTTTGCTTCTGAAGTAATCAAGGCCTTCGGTCTTTCCACATGCTGATGAACTGATGGTGTGGATTTGAGTTTGATTGGCATGAGTCTGCCATGGTGGGGGACAAAGAGGGGTAGAAGTGTTAAATGAAGTGTTGAAATAGTTTGAATTTAAAGGCCCAGCACAGTATTTTTCCCCCATACTCAAAATTTACCAGGAAGTCTATGATTATCTTTACCTGACTCAGCTTCTGCACAATATGTACTGAGGAGTACCTAAAATGACCTCTGAGGATTTAAAATATAGTTACACTGCCCCCTAACCACTGTTTAGAAAAGATACTTTATTTGGGGTAATCTTTGAGGTCATACTAGGGCTGAAAAATTCATTTTGTTTAACAGTTTATATCAGAATCGCAATTTGAAAGAATGCAATTTTCAAATCACAAGAGCTGCAGTTGCATCCTACATTATTCAGCACTGTCTTAAGTTTTAAATGGAGAGATGTACACAAATAACACAGAGCTTGTGAACTGCCGGTCTGGCACATTGCAAGCCTCAAGTCTAAAAAATGGATGTGCTCATCTTCTTGAGGGAAAACAGGGCCTGGAGCTTAATTTATATCAAGATAAAGGGATTAAAATTGCTGGTCAGAAAAGTGGCAATTACAGCAAATCACAGACTACATTAGACTGCAGGGGTTCCCAACCTTTTGCAACCTGCAGCCGACAGAAACGACCAAAAAAGTTTCAGTAGCCCTCAAGATTTAACCTTTTAGATGACAGATGATCTTGTTTGGCTGCTACCAAGTAGTGGATGTCAGGCCTGAAGAGAGGAAAGCAGCAAATGGACTTTCGATAAATATTTGCTAGGTGACAGTGTAAAGGTTCATCAGTTCTCATGCTTGTGAAGCCCAGCACCAAGTATTTACTGCTGTATTTTCTTCATTTCATTTAATGCTTGTTTTTCTCTGTTCTGCTTGTAAATGGCCTAGTTTTAGGATCTTACCTTTTGAAAGAGCTTCTAACCACTTATCCATGATCAAGGAGTTCCACATGATTGTAAAGTGAAACATTTCACATTGACATGCATTTAAAAATATAAGCATAACTAGCTAGCATTTTGCCAGAACAATCTTTGTGAATAAAATATAGCTTACAGAGCTGTTCCTGAAGAAAAATAGTCAGGTCTGTTTAGGTCAGCACTTTCTTTATTTTCACCTGTTAATTTCATATTAGCATGATTAGATGCTGTGACAGATTGCTTGCCAAGTTTATGGCACTTCCTGTGCTAGCACAGTGCTGCTCAGATTCACAATTAGAGTCTTGCAGTCAGCTGACGCAGGAAATGTGGATACAGACACAATTGTTTTGGATTTCCTAAGTGAAAATAAGGTAGCACATCCTCTACAGAGAAGAAACATACATTTGCTTGTATATTCTGCAAATTGCACTACTTATTTGCTGAGTTAACATGTTATTGTGAACTGCACTGCCCTCCAACACATCTCAAAGCACTTTGAGGCAAGTGTGTGACAGAGGCATGCAGTTCTGGCCATAAGTGTCCCTTTCTTTAGCCTGTTAAGTACAAAACCAGGATACTAAACGTGTCTTGGATTGACTATATTTGGGGTAAGGGGAAACTAGTTAAATTAGATTTTCTGTCAAATTATTCCTTTATTCCGAACGATTAAAGTAATCAGATTCCAAATCAGTCTATGAGTTTGTTACCTTGTTGGCAAGACTGCCCTGTTCTTCCTGGAGTGCAGGTACACCTCCCAGACACTGGGTGGCACTGTCCTCCCTCCCCACAGGAACATGTTTTCGCACAGTCCTTCCCATAGTGCCCAGCTGGACAGCCTAAAACACAAATGAAAACGCCAGAGTATACCATTTTCTAGGGATGCATCAATACCATTTTTTGACTGTGTATGAGTACATGTTTTTAGTACTCGCCGATACTGATTTTGATACCATGTAACCAAAGTACAATAAAGGAGTTGTTGGTGTAAATGAGTGCAATGTTCCTTAAAATTATCACTGCATTAAAATCTACAAAAATCTAAAAAAGCTATGTTATATTAGTTACCTTGGATTGAGTAGTGCTACACTGGAGAAGAGCAGGTTTTTGTTGCGTGTTAGAAAATCGCTTCTGTATTGCCACGAGTAAAGAATGTTTAATAGTTTTGATCCTCATCTCTCTCTTTAAATAACAGTCTCTGTAGTACAGTTATAGCAGGAATCACATCCAGAGCTAATGCAAAAAGCTCATATTTTGAGTTTTTGGAGTCTTTTTTTTTCTGGTTGAGCTGTAGCTGAATGTCTTGTAATGCCAGGCAGTATTGAACATGACCATGAATTTGCAGATTGATGTTTTTTTATAAAAAAAAAAAAAACAGCAGCCTTATGCTAGTTGTTTAAAGCAGCCATTCAAAAACTTTGCTGTGAAACTGAAGTGAAGAACAGAAAATATTATCATTTAATCGGACATAACATTAATATGCACTATTGGGATTGAGAAAAATGTTTCATTTTCGACAGTTATCCAAATCATTTGACACCACAGCACTGGGAAAGCCACAAAGATCTAATCATTAGCCAAGCCTCCTGCAGTCAGCTCATCCAAAAACTCTAATTTGGCTTAACCCTTCATCTGGCTGAATGTCTGAGTGGTGTGTTCTTACTGGTACTGCAGTTGGCTCCCAAGAACCCTGGTTGGCATAGGCAGGCACCGGTCTTGAAATCACAGCGTCCTCCGTTGGCACAGCGGCATCTCTTTTTACAGCCGGGGCCATAGGTGCCCTCTCTGCACTCTGATGGGGAAACACACACGTATACACATTTTATGGCCTGATTCAAGGCAAAGCATCCAGTTGTGAACTTCATTTCAATGTTAGTGAATATTTTACGTTGAACTGACATTAGCTGCTCTTAGTCTAGACTTATTCTGTGTCTAAAGAAACAGATGCTAAATCTGCTTTAAACAATTGTGATTATCAATTTTTATATTATGTTTAGTGTCATGATAACAAATATTAGACCATATGTAATCAATAACTTGTACAATACTGTACAATTCTGTAAAGCCTGAGACCACATTCCATTTAATTAAATTTCCAGTAAAAATGACCATTAAGAACAGGTTATTTATTGTTCAGTGAGATAAAAAAAAACAGAAAACATAGAAGGAAATTAATTATGCAGAAACTTCAACAACTAAATACAATATCATTTTTTTCAGTATTTAGTGTGTACACACTTTGCTTTCAGTTGTTCAAAGAAATTTGCAGGGATGTTTTTATACACCACCAAGTTCAGTCTTAGAAGTTGGTTTCATTTTCTGCTTCTTATGATTCAAGTAATCCCAAGTACAAATTTGGACTCATCAGACCATAATTCCCTTAATCTACACAGTTTCTGTGTTTTAGTGCAAATTATCTTCTTATTTTGTCTATTTCCTTTTCTCAGTAACAACTTCTTAACAGCTACACATCCTTACAGTCCATAGTGTTGAGCTTTTTCAGATATGAACTATAAGAGGAGTGTGATTTTCTCCTTTCTCCTAAAGCTGAAAGATTTAAGTACTGTTAATCTGATGGTGACACATTTTGTTGGGAGGACAAAGCTGTAACTCGTTGGTTTTAAGATTGGAAGGACAGACATGGTGGTAATTTGCACAAAAGTAAACAGGGAACAAATCAAATACTAACAGATTTTACATTATACTTAGTGTCACTTAATGCTTTTGCATGATTTTCTAATTCTTCCTGTTTTGACTGGAAATGAATGAAGAGTGGTCTCTGACCTTTGCACAGTCCTGCAAATTGTTTATTACATGTTTAATACACCGACCAGCCACTTCATTAAGTACACTTTCTTGTACCTACACTCACTGTCTATTTTATCAGCTCCATATCCAGGTATTATTTGAGTGGTGGGTGAGTGATATATGATTTTTGTTTTTTAATACTTCAGTGTCACTGCTGGACTGATAATAGTCCACCAACCAAAGATATCCTGCCAACAGTATCCTGTGGCCAGCGTCCTGTGACCATTGATGAAGGACTAGAGGATGACCAACACAAACGGTGGATGAGCTATTGTCTCTGACTTTACATCTGCAAGGTGGATCAACAAGGTATAGTGGACAGTGAGTGGACACAGTGTTTAAAAACTCCAGCCGCACTGCTGTGTCTGATCTACTTGTACCAGCACAACACACACTAACACGCCACCACCACATCAACATCACTACAGTGCTGAGAATGATCCACCACCCATATAACACCTGCTCTGTAGTGGTCCTGTGGGGGTCCTGACCATTAAAGAACAGGGTAAAAAGGTGTTAACAACTTACGCAGAGAAACAGATGGACTACAGCCTGTAATTGCAGAACTACAAGGTGCATGTATCTGGTAAGTAGAGCTGATAAAATGGGCAATGAATGTAGAAACAAGCAGGTGTACTTAATAAAGTGGTTGGTCAGTGTATACTGCTGTGCTATAATTTACTGGCTTACTGAGTTGGCAGTGGCTGCCATAGTAACCAGGTGGACAGGTGCACCTGCCGGTGACATGGTGACACAGCTGATAAGGTCCAGAACACAAACACACCCGAGAGCAGTTCAGTCCATACCGGCCCTGCATACACGCTTCAAACAGAGAGACAGAGGGGGAAAAACACAACAGGATGAGATTACAAGCATGGAATCTGCACATTATTATAAATACACATTTCTCTGACTACAGGTAGCTCTTGACGGTCAGTCTAGATTTAAGTTTGAGGTCAGAAGGGTTGTCACAATACACTTGTTTGCATGGTTCTATTTAACACAAATCATGATAGTCCTGGCAATTTTTTACCCATGAACATAAAAAACAGCTCTTGGACCTGGAAAAAATGGTTTGGCTAGCCTACCTTGAAAGAAGCTGAAGTTAGCTTCTTCCACTTATTTTCTGTTCCTACTTAAATGGTGCCTGAGGCAAATTTGAGTAAGAGGCCTAGGCAAATAAGAAGCTAACTTCAGTTTTGTCTACCTTGGATGGTTGATTAACCAACCTGTTTGAAATTGCAAGTGGAGAAAATGAGCTTTAGCTGGATTAGGACCCAAGTGAACTCGCAAACATCTCCTGTTGGGAACACTTTGGTCTTCCAGCCGAATACAGTAATGATGGGCAACGAGTGGTAGATTGAATGCTGACAGTGTGCCTTCACCATGAGAGAATCAAATATCCGTGCCATTATCTCAATTCTGAAGACAGCCAAATGTCTCGAAATGAGGAGAAACTCAGCAGCTACTTCTCCAAACAGGATTCAATGAGCCACCAAGTGCCGAGTCTGAACACTCCAAACAAGAAACTCCAACAGTGACAGCTTCTAATAGCTAACTGGTTGTAAAGTCCACCTCTATTTGGAGTCCAATTCTATTTAGTTGTAGAATCAGCTGTAGAGTCGTACTGTAGAGTCCATCTTTATTTGGAGTGTGGAATCCACCTCTATTTGGTTGTGGTGTCCACCTCTATTCAGTTGTGGAGTCCCCCTCTATTCGGTTGTAGAGTTCACCTCTATTTGGTTGTAGAGTTGACTGTGGAGTCCACTTTTATTTGGTTGTAGAGTCAACCTCTATTTAGTTGTGGAGTCTCCCTCTATTTGGCTGTAGACTCCCCCCTCTGTTTGGTTGTAGAGTCTTCTCTGTTTGGTTAAAGAGTTCACAATTATTTGGTTGTAGAGTCCACCTCTGATTGGTTGTAGAGTCCACCTCTGTTCGGTTGTAGAGTCCACCTCTGTTTGGTTGTAGAACCCCCTCTATTCGGTTGTAGAGTCCCCCTCTATTCAGTTGTAGAGTCCATTGTAGAGTCGACTGTAGAGTCCACATTTATTTGGTTGTAGACTCCACCTATATTTGGTTGTGGAGTCCCCCTCTGTTTGGTTGCAGAGTCTTCTCTGTTTGGTTAAAGAGTTCACAATTATTTGGTTGTAGAGTCCACCTCTGATCGGTTGTAGAGTCCCCCTCTGTTTGGTTGTAGAACCCCCTCTATTCAGTTGTAGAATCCCCCTCTATTCAGTTGTAGAGTCGGTTGTAGACTCCACCTTTATTTGGTTGTGGAGTCCCCCTCTGTTCGGTTGTGGAGTCCCCCTCTGTTCGGTTGGAGAGTCCACCTCTATTTGGTTTGAAAGTCCACCTATATTCGTTTGTACAGTCTTCCTCTATTTCGTTGTAGAGTCCACCTCTATTCCGTTGGTGACCCCCTATTTTGCTGGGAGTGGTGAGCCATATTGAAAATCCCTTCTCACAGTCATTTAACACACGTTTGCCAAATGCATGTGTGAAAAATAATTGTGTCAGTTATCCCCCAACAAGCTCTGTTCTGAATTTTTAGAATTACAAAAAGTAAATAAATGAATAATTAATAACTAAGCTATGTTAGCATTCATTTTTGATTCTGTTGAAAAAATGTATTATATTACGTTGAAAAAACAGCAATAAGTATAGTATCATGAAATTTGTCTATCGTTGCACTCCTAGATGTCAGTGTCACGCACTATTGCACACTCTCATGTCAGGGGTGAGTGAGAAGACTGCAGTCAGCATGTCTGTGTGTGTATGTGTACGCTGTGATGGCATGTGTGAGTGATAAGCTTTGACTCCAGACTAAAAGAGAGTAATTAGACTGTTGTCATTAGGCATGTCTGAAGCAGTGTGTGTGTGTGTCTGCTCCACTGTAGAGCTCTTATCCGTGCACAGACAAAAACAAAGCCTGCTGTTTAAGTTGGCACTGCGCACTAACCTTTATCAGATGTTTTAGATCCATGGAGAGAAAGAGAGAGGGGTAGGGGTGGGGTAGTGATGAAAGCAGCCTAAGGAGTCTGAGTGAGTATTTGGCTCATTCGTTGTTATATTGTACAGTAAGAAAACTAACAGAACAACTAGAGAGACGAATGACAGCTTCTACTAATCATTTAAAGGTCCTGTATCATGGAAAACAACACTTTTATTAAATAAGAGAGTTAACATAATATGTAAACATTGCTGAAGTTTCAAAATATATAGTTAACTTTGCAGTCCATACAGGCCATAAATGGAGAGTAAGCTGTTTTTGTGATGTCATACATTCACCTATTCAGTCTAACACAGTTTAGTATAGATTAATACAATGATGAACAGATGGATGTGTTGATTGATGGCTGCACTAAAGGATGGATTTATGAATGGATGGGTGAATGAAAAGGGTTGATGAATGAATGAATATAAAAATAAAGAGAGGAATTCTCACTTTTCTCGCAGCTGCTCCCCATATATCCTGCTGGACAGCCACACCTGCCGGTCACATGATCACAGGCCATGCCCTCTGGACACTCACACACCTGCGAACAGTTTTTGCCGAACCAGCCAGGGGAACAGGCTGAAACACACACACAGAGGATTACTGACCAAAGCATCTATTTTGATCTATTTAAACCCAAGTCAATAATGGAGATAATCAGCTAAATATTTACAAAGTCATCATTTAGGGTACTTTCTATTGGGAGGTGGCTGTCCCTCATTTTGGATTTAATGAGTCCTAAAGGTTGAAAAGTAGTGTGTATCCTTACGTGTCACCACCAAAACTGCAATTAGGTAAACCTTTTCTGTTTTAATGAAATATATCATGATTTTTTGTGTGTACAACTGCTCAAAGCTGTGTACATGTACACCAGCAATGTGAACTTACAAGTTATGTGTTTTTCAGTGTATGTGTGTATGTGTTCTTTAGTGTGTGTGTGTGTGTGTGTGTGTGTGTGTGTGTGTGTGTGGTTGTTCATGCACACTACTTACACTTGTTGCAGGTGAGCCCTGTCCATCCTGGCTCACACACACACTGGCCTGTTGCATGGTGACAGGAAGTGCCATGGTCACATTTACACTTCTGTTCACAACCCTGACCATAGAAACCAGCTGGACAAACTGAAACAAACACATACATAAATATATTTACATATATACAAATAAAACACAACTTTCTTCTAATGCAGATTTGATGAGCTTGACTTTTTCTGTGTTTGCTTTTTGTAAAAACATATATAAAAGTTTCCAAAAGCACTACCAGCAATCTGGAATACCATGCTGGACAGTGCTCACAAGAGACCTGTGCATAAATCAATGAGCAGCAAACTAACAAAAGCAATAGCAAAACTGAAAGCTCCAGCTCCCCTTGAGAACCTCCACTGTAACAAGAATATACAAGCTTTGAACAAGAGGAAAAGGCTACAATCACTGAGGGGTTGGAACCACTGACTGTGTATACAATAAAGGAATCAGATATTTAACAGACTTGGACTTTAGACTATAATCATTTTGCTTTGAGTGACCCAATACCTTAATTAAATTTATTTCATTAAAAATATTAATAGAAGCAATAATAACAGCTCCAAAACTTTGCCAAATGTTTCAGTAGTGACTGTTTTGACAAATGTATCTCATTTTTAGCAGAACTTCAGAACAGAACACCAATACATGACTTGCAAACACAGCTTTGCACAGCTGTACACACAATAAAAAATAATTAAAGCACAAAAAAGTTTACTTCAGAAAATATGTGTTTCAGTAGTGACAGTTGTAATTAAGGGTTTATGTTTTGGGACAGCTGCCTCCCAATAGAAAGTACCTTATAGGTTATGATTTTGTGTATATTTAGCTAATTACTATCTCAATTAATGCCTTGTGCCTAGCTTTGTGTTTCGGTAGTGACATAAAAACGTGGGACAGTGTTTGAATGAAGGTATTTAAAATGAAACACATGATAAATCCAAATATTTCAACTTCAAAAGAAATCAAAAAGATCTTATAAAATACAAATATTATTTTCATAAGTTGAAATTCAGGGGTTAGTGTTTGGGACAGACAAAAAAGTAGCCTATAAATGAAGATTTTGTACATATTTAGCTCATTACTATCTCAATTAATGACTTATTTATTCAGATCATAACATAATTGTATATGTTATCCTTATATTTAAGGTCTGAATACTTGATTATTAAATACGTCAATGATTAAAATTGGAACCTGTGTTCACTCTATGGAAATAACTTGATTATCAAGTCATATAATGTTGCTGAATTACTTAATGTATTAAATGAATGTTGAAGCTTATTTTGAAACAGATTACGTCCAAACTCAAATCCAAACTTTTACATGGCAGTGCATGGTGTTACTGGTTGTTTTGAATAAAGCAGGACTCTATCAGCTCATTGCAGACTTGTAATAACAGAACCTGTTAAAGTGCTCAAGTCTGGAGTGCTCTCCGCAGACTAATAAATGAATATCACTGCACCTCTGTGCATTTTCACAGAACGGTCACGCAGCCTCCTGCTGTAAGGCGTCACGGTGCACGATGCTGATGGTAATCTGCAGTGGAAAAGGCGAGCTGGCCTGAAGTGTGTTATCCTACAGAAACACTCTCCGCTTCACTGCTTTCACGATTAGCCATGTGATTAGAGCTGATGGAGAGAAGAGAATATGGAGAGAAAGTCGTGGGAAAGCCAGAGAGAAAAATAGTCATCTCTGGACTATACTGGACTATAAAAAGAGAGAAAGAGAAAGGGAAGGAACCAGAGAGATCTTTATAGGACCTCTCACCAGATTCATTTAACTACTAGGAAAGATTGCATGAGACGAGTTTACGCACTAAACAACTGAGCATCCCCCCGCAAGTCCTCTTTAAAAAGCATCGTACCCCAATAAAAACATGGATGCACTTATCCCTCATACTGACGGACTTAATGAGATTTGCCTGAGGGAATTTCCCCTCTCTCTCACACACACACACACACACACACTCTACCCCAATTCACCCACATTTCTGTCTCTCTCCAGCTGCACAACACCACAAAGAGTTGGAATGAATGGTTTCAACAATATATAAAACCAATTAGTTTGCAGATACATGTATAGAATGATTCCAGTATGATGCTGCTATTCTATGACTACAGTGGTTTCTCAGATTAACCATTAACAGACAAATGCATAAATGTTCAGTTAATGCTTTCGGTGAAAACGCTAATTTAATTCCGGTAAACAATTGAAAAGGCGGTGTTTTTAATTCAACTTCGTGACTTTTTTAATTGCATGCATGAGAGCGCAAGTGCGCAACTTCTTTTGGTAGCCCCACTTATAGATGCACAACTCAGACTCCAACTCTCAACTAGGACAGGGCAATATCTAAAAATAATAAGCACAAATTTTTCACGATTATTGATCATATCAGCCCCCCCAAATACACAGGGTCTGCTGCAGCTTTGACTACTTTCTATTCTATTTTTTAGGTCAAATCCTTTTTTGTGCTGTAATAAAAATCACATTTTAGGTAATACAACACTGAACAACCCGAACATCTTTCGAAAAATACTTCACCTGATGTTTTAAATGTTTGTCACTACCTGATCTATCCTGATCCCCTGTACATGTGCACCACTGTCACACATACATAGAGAACATTACATTTAGCAGCACCAACCCATCTGTACTGCATACGTTTAAGCATTTAACCTCAGTCTAAAATTATAGTTGAGCCCCAACAAAACAACCATATTTTTCAAGAGTAATTACTGGTGTTTTTTCTCTCTTTTCTGCTTAGTTGGCAACCTGTCCTACATGTTTATCAGTGAAAACACAGAGCTTTAAGGTGTGATTATCTGCCTGAGCAGTTTTGGGAAGATATCTTTCTTGTGGTCTCAAAAAGCTTCCTGTTTGCCTTAAAAATAAAAAAAAAAACTGTGCATTAAAAATAAAACCAGGCGGTGATGCAATATGGTCTCTCTATAGCCTATTTTACAAAAACAATACAAAAAAATGTATGTTTTTTTATACCTTATTATTATTATTTAATTAATAGTATTTTTATACCTTGCAATTCTGTTCAGTCAAACAGAGTAAAGTCGGCATATACGGACTTCAGTACAACAAATATTGACTTTTTCACCTTTGTTTTGGTAGCCTATGTGTCTCCACCTCTACTGGGGAAGTGGTTGTGATTGTGTTACTGTGTGTTTGAAATGTGCTAAAATCACACAGTGTAAGTCTGGCGGAAATATGCCAAGGTGGAATGTTTAAAAAGACCAGCAACATTATGTTTGACTGTCACACTGTTGGAAACAGTTCTCTGTGTGAGCAGACCCTCCTTCACTACCAGCTTGAGTCGTTTGTTTATTAGCGCTGCAACATACACTAGGTTTATGTCACATGGTGTCAGCTGGTATCAAAAGTTGGTATGAGTGCATTTTGTATGCGTATGAGTAAATTTGCACGGTATTGGGCCGATGAAGTTATATTTCAAAGTTTGCCAAAATTTGCACCTGTAGTAAAAACTAAATAAATAAGTAAATAAGGGAATTTAGATGTGTCTGAATTGAACTGTAGATGAACTGTAGATGAGAAAGACTGAGAAAGCTGTACAACATTGAGATTAAAGTTGTAAAAGAAATAATATTCAGAGTGGCTCATATTTCAAAAGTGATCAAAATCTCAAGGCAGATAACTTCTGTTGTAAATATTTACAGTACATCATATAATGTATTTTTTATCATATGATAACCATAAGTAGTTGAAATATCAAATAAAATACCTAAAAAATAACACGTGGTGGATTTCCTGGACAATGAATAAACCTTGTCCTGGGCTACATTTCCTTTCAGTGGAGAACCATCCTTCAGAATGTCGTGTAGTGCAAGACTAGGCTTAATCCCTGTTTGGGAAACCAACCCATAGTGTCTAGCTTATAGTACTGAAAACTTTCTACAAGGACTGCACAATATGGACATAAAATGCAACGTTTGATATTTATGACTGAAATAGTGTTTCTGACTGAATCTGCAAAAAATAAAAAATTGGGTAAAGTGTAAAAAAACAAAACATGAATGAAATACTACTTTTTACTGAAATAGTAGTTTTTTGTAAATATTCAATCATTCCAAATTTGATGCCTGTAATACTTTACAAAAAAAAATTGGACAGACACATGTTTACCACTGTGTTACATCACCTTTCCTTTTAACAGCACATAATAATCGTTTGAGGACTGAGAATACCTATTCGTCCAGTTTTGAAAGTGCAACCATATTGTCATATTTTGAGCGTAAAAAGACTCGCATTTTCACTGGGAGACAGTTCTGAACTGCATGCAGGTCAGTCTAGCAGCTGCACTCTCTGATTTGCAGCCATTCTGTTGTAACACATAAAGAAATTGGCTTGGCATGGTCATGTCCATTTCAGATGAGTTCGAGCCCAGAGAAGCCGGAAGTGTTTCTGCATGTTGTTGACATATGGCTTTCAATTTGCATAGTACAGTCTTATGTTGCATTAGTATTACATTATTGCAGTGACAAACTTGCATTTTTTCAGAATATTCTGAAGCCTATGTGGTGATATCCATCACAGAAACATACAAGGTTTAGAACCCATACAGGATATTAGTTAAGGATAAAGTAGTTTTTGAGCTGTGCACACGTGTACTTTGTAATTGTCTCTTTGGCAGAGGGGTTAAGTCACTCGCTCTACATTCAAGAGTGGTATACGGTTGTAAGCAGAGTTGGAGCCCGGCTAACAATAGTATACTACCATTAGCCACAGCTTCTAACACTATATTCCTTCCAAAAGCAATCATGCTACTCATGCTGTACATGGGTAATGTAATTTGATCCATTCTGTCTTGCCAGGACGACGTGCTCACTGAAGAAAGATGAATCATGCCTCTCTACTTTCTACAGCATAAAGGCTATTACTAGCTTTGCAGTTGATGCAAAACTTTTGAATGGCAGTGTATGCTCTCTTTTCTGCACTACTATAACGATGACAGGGTGTGTCGTAGTGCTGATGATTGCTTGGGAAGTGAAGGTTTGGGACAGCTGGTTACAGTCGGGTCATTAACGGAGATCGCTGAGCTATTTTGAGGGCAAGACTGGCCATGAGGC